GTGGAAGGAAAATTATAAATGTTTTTAAACATTTTTTACAAATACATATCTGACAAATGTGGCGCGCATTTGTATTCAGCCCCCCTGAGTCAGTACTTTGTAGAACCACCTTTTACTGCAATTGCAGCTGCAAGTCTTTTCGGGCATGTCTCTACCAACTTTGCACATCTAGAGAGTGACATTTTTGCCCATTCTTCTTTGCAAAATAGCTCAAGCTCTGTCAGATTGGATGGAGAGCATCTGTGAACAACAATTTTCAAGTCTTACCACAGATTCTCAATTGGATTTAGGTCTGGACTTTGACTGGGCCATTCTAATACATGAATATGCTTTGATTTAAACCATTCCATTATGGCTCTGGCTGTATGTTTAGGGTCGTTGATCTATTGGAAGGTGAACTTCCACCTCAGTCTCAAGTCTTTTGCAGACTCTAACAGGTTTTCTTCTAAGATTGCCCTGTATTTGGCTCCATCCATCTTCCCATCAACTCTGACCAGCTTCCCTGTCCCTGCTGAAGAACAGCATCCCCACAACATGATGTTGCCACCACCATGTTTCACGGTGGGGATGGTATGTTCAGGGTGATGTGCAGTGTTAGTTTTCCGCCACACATAGCATATTGCTTTTAGGCCAAAAAGTACCATTTTGGTCTCATCTGACCAAGTGTGGTGTGCATTTGTATTCAGCCCCCTTTACTCTGATACCCCTAACTAAAATCTAGTGCAACCAATTGCTTTCAGAATTCACCTAAATAGATTCCACCTCTGTGTAATTTAATCTCAGTATAAATACAGTTGTTCTGTGAAGACTGGGACAGAGGTTCACCTTCCAGCAGGACAATGACCCTAAACATACAGCCAGAGCCACAATGGAATGGTTTAGATCAAAGCATATTCATGTATTAGAATGACCCAGTCAAAGTCCAGACCTAAATCCAATTGAGAATCTGTGGCAAGACTTGAAAATTGCTGTTCACAGACACTCTCCATCAAATCTGACAGAGCTTGAGCTATTTTGCAAAGAAGAATGGACAGAAATTTCACTCTCTAAATGTGCAAAACTAGTAGAGACATGCCCAAAAAGACTTGCAGCTGTAATTGCAGTGAAAAGTGGTTCTACAAAGTACCGACTCAGGGGGGCTGAATACAAATGCAACACTTTTCAGATATTTATTTGTAAAAAATGTTTAAAAATCTTCTTTTTCATCAACATTTACATAAGTGTACTATACGTTTTTGTACATAAATTTGTAATATTGGTATATGAACAAATGTGTGTTCCAGATAAAGACTTCTTACATTCCTTAGTAGGCAAATAAAGTTCTTTTACAAACTCAGAGAAAGAAACTTTAGAAATAGCCTAACTCTCTAATTGAAAGTCAGAAAGAAAGCACTTGTATTTCCTAAGGATAATATTTGAAAATGCACTAATATTTATAAGAACTAACAAAACTGATAAGATATATTTTGTTGAATAAAATATTTTACCAGAATGTCTGTGCTTTCGGAGCTATCAGAATGGAATTCAAAATCAACAGAAACTTTTCTTTTCTTCTTTGCTGGATCATCAAGACATGCATTAAAACGGTCAGGTAAATTGGCAAACTTTGGTGGGGTCTTCACAGAATATGTCTGAAAAACCAACATATTTAATTAAATATGTATAAATATGGCATACTGATTGCAAACAAAGTATGTTGTACCTTTTAACTAATGTATTGTAAAATCAAGGACTTTATAGTATGTCCAGATAATAAATGTACACAATTTGTGACAGTGGGCAGGTCATATTTTTTTTTAGAACTGAGATAGCATTCTGTGGTCTAATATTTGTAAGCATGTGATCTATAAATTATCTCTTGGGGTAACCGAATAATGTGGGATTTAAGAACCATGCAATTAAAAGTACAACCCCTGGCAAAAAGTATGGAATCACACTCTCGGAAAATGTTCATTCAATTGTTTAATTGTCTAAAAAAAAAACTAATCACAGACATGCCTCAAAACTATTTTCATTTAACATTTCAACCTTCTGGCTTTAAGAAACACTTAAAAAATAAAAGTGTAGTCAATTGCAAACTGTATTGCAGATCAAGCAGAGGAAAAAAAAAAGTAAGAATTACTCAATTCTGAGGAAAATATTATGGAATTATCATGTACCTTGCAGTTCTAAAACAAACATCTGCATCAGATTACATCTGCTAATTAGTCTGCAGTTAAAAAAGAGTGCTTGCACACCTTGGTGAGCTACTGCACCAAGCTGATTGACATGAATCATTGCTCCAACATGAGAGATGTCAGTTGAAACAAAGGAGAGGATTATAAAACTTCTTCAAGAATGTAAACCATCACAGAATGTTGCAAAAGATGTTGGTTGTTCCCAGTCAGCGGTGTCTAAAATCTGGACCAAGTACAAATCAAATGGAAAGGTTGTAAAAGGGAAGCGTACTGACAGACCAAGGAAGACATCAAAGCATCAAGACAGAAAAATTAAAGCAATATGCCTTGAAAACAGAAAATGCACAACAAAATAAGTGAGGAACAAATGGGCAGAAAATGGAGTCAAAGTCTGTGACTAAACTATAAGACATCACCTAAAGGTAATGGGATTTATATACAGAAAAAAGCCAAACGAAAACCATTATTAACACCTAAACAGAAAAAAACAAGGTTACACTGGCCTAAAGAAAAGCAATCATGGACTGTGGATGACTGGATGAAAGTGATATTCAGTGATGAATCACAAATCTACATTGGGCAGGGTGATCATGCTGGAACTGCCTGAAGAAAACATGCAAATTTCCACAATCATTGGTGATATAGGGTTGCATGTCAGGTAAAGGTACGGGGAGATGACAGCCATTAAATCTTCAATAAATGCACAAGTTTCTATTGAGAATTTGGACGCTTTTTTCTTACTGCATCAATTGAAAGGATGTTTGGTGATGACCATATCATTTTTCAGGATGATATAGCATCTTGCCATATGGCAAAAGCCGTGAAAACTTTGCTTCAAGAAAGACAGACATATAGGGGTTTATTTACTAAAGCTGGAGAGTGCAAAATCAGTCTCACTTCTGCGCAGAAACCAATCAGCTTCTAACCTCAGCTTGTTCAATTAAGTTTTGGCAATAAAAACTAGAAGCTGACTGGTCTCTGTGCAGAAATGAGTCAGTTTGTGCTCTCTCCAGCTTTGCCAAATAAACCTCATAATGTCAATAGCATGGCCTGCAAATAGTCTGGACCTCAATCCAATTGAAAAACTATGATGGAAATGAAAGAAAATGGTCCATGACAAGGCTCCAACCTGGAAAGCTGATCTGGCAAGTGCAATAACAGAAAGTTGGAGCCAGATTGATGAAGAATACTGTTTGTTGATAGTTAAATCCATGTCTCAGAGAATTCAAGCTGTTCTAAAAGCCAGAGGTGGTGCAACAAAGTACTAGTGGTGTACTGTAGTGTTTTTTTTTTCATGATTCCATAATATTTTCCTCAGAATTGAGTGATTCCATATTTTTTCCTCTGCTTGATCTGCAAATCAGTTGCAACTGACAGAAGTCAGAAGGTTGGAATGTTAAATGAAAATAGTTTTGAGGCATGTCTGTGATTAGTTTTTTTTCTACACAATTAAACAATTGAATGAACATTTTCCAAGAATGGTGATTCCATACTTTTTGCCAGGGGTTGTATATCTGAAAAGCAGCAATGCTTGATAACTACGCAAAACATACTACAACATCTAACCTAGGTTCACACCTGAGCGTTTTCCGCAGTGTTTTGCATTTTGCAGAAACGCACTACAGACCATTTAACATGATTTCTTATGGGACACGTTCACATCCGTGTTTTCACCAGGTGCATTTTTTGGAAAGGGTCAGGGACTTTTTTGAACGCAAAAAGTTGCGTTTTTGGTTCTATTGACTTCAATGCTGCAGAAAAGCATGTAGTGTGTTTTTGCTGCATTTTGTGTTTTTAATCTGCCTAGCAACAAGAAAAAAAAAAGCAAAACACATCAAAAACACATGTGTAAAACGCAAGCGCACTGCAAAAAGCACTACAGAAACGGATCAAACATAACCTGCATAGGGGTGAACCTAGCCTAAGCCCAAACTCAATAAGAGTATATTTCTGTGACTGTATTTAGCAATGCTCAGTGTTAGCTGTGCTGAAGAGAAAAGCATCAGATGAGGAGGAAAATTAGGAGGTTACTGACGGACTTCTCATTGCAAGTTGTTCTCAGCCATAGATCTGTACATGCAAGTGATGAATACATACTATGTTCAAGAATCACCTAAAATGACAGGTGGTAAAAAAATATTAAAATAAATAAACAGTTCATTGGAGCACAAATTGTGTACGGGCCAACCTAAAATAACAACCAAGGAGTTAATTGCAGTTCAAATCTACCAAAGGAATGTTTAAGATAAAATAGCAAAAAAGAGCACAAATACCTCTTTAATTATAACAGAGACTCAAAAAATGGGATCAGAGTAACAATACACAATAGTATAGTTCACTCCTGGAGCTGACAGGTTGCTTAATACAGTAGAGATGGGAAATCTTTACACATCCATGAACTTTGAGGCAGGGCTGAGAAAAACACATAGTGCAGCTCACCAATGTAATATCAAACAGTGACAACTTTATGAAAAAGCAGTGTACACTCACATTAAAAACTTGTGACATTCAAAAATAGTGCTAGGAACCAAACTGTCGGTCCCTGTTCTGTGGCCAGTGGTGGTATATGTATTCGTATAATAGCCACAAAAGCAGTCAGTGCTAGAAAATGATCTATCCAGGCAACTTTAGTGTCCCCTGAATACGTGTATTTGCACTAACTGCACTGGGAGGAGCTATACGTGCTGACGTCACACCGCTGCTTCCGGTACTGGGATCGGCAGTCATATTAGTAAGTGCAATTCCCATACTGTGGCTTGCTCTTTGGCTGTGATGAAAAACTCTGCTTTGTAATTTTAATATATGGATGTTAATGCATTTTATGAATAAATTACTACACTATGGGGTTTATTTACTAACGCTGGAGAGTGCAAAATCAGGCTCACTTCTACATAGAAACCAATCAGCTTCCAGGTTTTATTGCCAAAGCTTAATTGAACAAGCTGAGGTTAGAAGCTGATTGGTTTCTATGCAGAAATTAGCCTGATTTTGCACTCTCCAGCTTTATTAAATAAACTCCTAAATGCAATTTCTTGTAGCTCCATGTGATGAGGGTCCCTCCCAGGCTCATTACATCAGTGGTGTGGTGGCCCCCTGCTGGAGAGGAGTACTATAACAAGAGGTTGCTTTTTTCCACATTGTAAAGTCTTCTGTTTATTCATGTGCTGTTTGCTGCTTTCTCTATGCAGCTTAAAAGCTGGTGAATGTGCACAGGCTATGGTATATGATGCACATGGTGCCGCACTTTACTGGCAGAAGATTGCAATACATTAAAATGTTACTTACTGTTATGAAGATTCAGCTTTATTTACTTGTTGTAATGAAGATTCACCTTTACAGTGGAATGCTGGTTGGTGCACATTTTTCTTATTAATTTTTTATTAATATTTATTATTTTTGCAGTTTATATACATGAATTGTTTGTTCTATTAATTTATATTAATTTATATTAATTGTTATATTAATTTCATGTATTTGTATACCATTAGCTGAATTGTTAAAATGTTCTAATGGAGTTGTTTCTAATCAATAAATCAAGTGCCAAGATCTTTCTTTCCCCTTTCCCCTACAAGAGTACTATAAAGTACTATAAAAATGCCAACATCAGTCCCCTCTTAATAGGCTTGATAAAATGGATTGCAACCTCACAATGCATTGCATAGGAAATTGTACCTGGAAATAGATGCATTGCTTGAGCTAAGAAGCCACTCAGTAGCAAGGACGCTGGCTGTTTTAATCTCTGGGTGGGTCCTGTTTCATCTCTCACAGCTGGCCATGAAACAAGCACACTTTTAAGCCATATTGGCCCGGAAAAGTAATAGGGCACACCGGGCATTTGCCTGGTGGGCTGGGGCCGCCTGGATAGGAAGGCGGGCGGGGCGGCACATAGAGGAACCAGACTGTGCATTTCTCTCCTGCCACCACTGAATGCCTACTTCTCTGCTACTGGCGGCAGGAGAGAAATGCAGTCCAGTTCCTTTATGTGCCGCCCAGCTGCCCCTTCTATCATCTCCTGCTGCCGTGAGCTTCTGTATGCTCCCCCTGCGGCCACCCACCCCCTCATCTTCTGTAGTGTTGCCGTTGGGTTCCCCCCTCCCTGCAGATGCTGTGGGGGACCTGTCAGGATAGACTTCCCCCAGTGCTGACAGTTCCCCATCCACCACAGACAGGAGAGGAGGAGAGAGAAATCTGGTTCTGCCCCTCCTCCTCCCGCCCTCTCCTCCTGTGTCTGCCTTGCCCACACTTCCTGGCAGTCTTGTGTCTTCTCTCTTTCTCCTTCTTTCTCTTTTTTTTCTCTCTCTCTCTTCCTTCCTTCTCTCTCAATCTGTCTTCTCTTTCTTTCCTTCCTTTTTTCTCTAATTCTTCTTTCTCTCTCTGTTTTTCTCTCTCTCTCTCTCTCTCTCTCTCTGTCTTCTCTTTCTTTCTCTCCTTTCTTTCTCTCTCTGTTTCCCCTTCATTCATTCCTTCTCTCTCTTTTCTCTCCCTCTTCCTTCCTTCTCTTTCTTTTTTTTTCTCTTTCCATCTTTCTTTCCGTCCTTCTTTCTCACTCCTTCTCTAATTCTCTCTCTGTCTTCTATTTTTCTCCTCCCTTCTTTCTTTGTCTCTCTCTGTCTCCCCTTCCTTCCTTCTCTTTCTTATATATTTTTTTTCTCTCTCTTTCCTTCCTTCCGGTCTTGTCCTCTCACCAAAGCCCCCCAAATGTTAAAAAATAACAAAGGTCACTCTTGCAACCGGGCCCTGGCGTTTCACCACCGGGCTCCAAGGAAAGTGTCTCTGGGCTTGGGGCTGCTCAGTCTAAAATGCCCCAGGTCTATTTTTTCTCCCAGTTCGGGCCTATGGCCATATATGGTTTGAATCTTGGCTGGCACAGCAGGATCTAGCCACTAGCAATAATCACTGTATTCTCCCGGTGGGGATGGCTTCCCCTGCCAGGAGAACAAAAAAGGCTCCACAGGAGGGATTCCCCTGTCAACACTTTCATGAATTGCAGGAAAGAAATTAGCTCCATCTATGGCCTTCCTTATGTCTATCTGCGCTGGTTTCCACAACTACTTCTGAAAATCACTTCCAAGTATTTAATGTGAGTGGACTGCTTTTAATTAAGTTGTCATAGTTTGAAATTACATTGGTGCACTGTGATTTTCTCATCCCTGCCTCAGAGTTTGTGGATGTGTAAAGATCTGCCATCTCTGTATCAATCAGTGTGCCAGGTCTGGGAGTGAAGTATACTATTGAGCTTATTGTCCTTCCTGTGACAGACTCATAGGACCTGGATTTTAAGGACTTTGATCTTATATATTTTAGCATTTGTTCTTAAGAAGGTATTACTACTCTTTTTACTATTTTTCCTTTGGTAAAAAATATTCCACTCTTTTTTTTTCAGAAACAGCTGAACGGTTTTTCTGCCCACACAAGCATGGCGGATAGAGTATTCCTCCCCACTGAGTTATTGTATTCTGACAGTGTGGACTTCTCCGCTGTCAGAATATTCTGATCAGTGCTGCAGCTGAATGGCTGCAGTACTGATCAAATTCCAACAAGCCAGTTAAATCAACTTCTCTGGAACAGGAATGTCCATAGATGGATTCAATTTTGGATGCTCCCTGCTGAACTGGGCAAAAATTGATCCATCTATGACCAGCTCCAGCACAACTTTAGACTCACATGAAATGCACATGTACTGAGGGGATCATTTCTGTACCATGGAAAAAAGGTAACAAATGCCTTTTCAACATAATGCTCACAAATGCTCATTTTCTCTTGGGTTTTATCACAATCAAGTCCTGACTGACTCCAGAAATGCTTACATTGATTACAACTTGTCAAAACAAGCATGTCCATGGCTCTTGTATATGCGTTCCTGTAGCTGGTTGAAAAGCACAGAAAAAGATTTGTACCTTTGGAGCTGCATAATTGCAGATCTTAGAAGTGGTCCATGGAGATGTAACCTTGTTAACAGACTTTTTGTCAGGCTCCCCTTGTGATGCTATTTTTGCAAGAACTGATCTCCTTGAAAAAGAGGAGGAGGTATGTACACTTCCTATTTTGGCTGACTGCTTTGGAGTTTCTGGAAACATGGTCTGGACCTGCTATATGAGAAACAGAAATACTTTAAAACTTTGGACTGAACATATTTTACTTTCATTTAAGTTCAGAAATATATTTACCTTGTGCTTCATAGTTGTCTTTAATTGTATTTTCTCCATTTCAATTTTTTCCTAAAAAAATATTTGATATATTAGGAAATATACACATGCGCCATGAAACTAGACAATGTAAAACAAGTCAATATACAAAAATAACAATACTTTGGAGTAAAATAAAAATTACAAGACAGGCCTGGAAACCAACATTTCACACCTACTAATTAACTATCTCTTTTTTGCAATGAATACAATAATATCAAATATGACTATGCAATATGAATTTCTACATTTTGCATACCTTGTACTGAAGGCAGAAATTAATTCAATTCAAGCAAACCATGAGAAATGTTGTCAGAGGAATGGCTGTGAATCTAGTTAATTTGGTACCTGAAAGATGACTATTGGCTTAATTTTCAAATGATCTAGTGCAGGGGTGGGCAAACTTTTTGACTTGAGGGCCGCAATGGGTTCATATATTGGACCCGGGGGCCGGACCAAGAGTAGATGAATGATGTGTATGTGTCATCCATAGTAAGTATAGTAATATTCCCCCATAGTAAGCATAGTAATTAATCCCCCATATAGTAATTCATCCCCCATAGTAATTCATCCCCCATATAGTAATTTATCCCCCATATAGTAATTCATCCCCCATATAGTAATTCATCCCCATAGTAATTCATCCCCATAGTAATTCATCCCCCATATAGTAATTCATCCCCCATATAGTAATTCATCCCCCATATAGTAATTCAACCCCCATAGTAATTCAACCCCCATATAATTCATCCCCCATATAGTAATTCATCCCCCATAGTAATTCATCCCCCATATAGTAATTCATCCCCCATAGTAATTCATCCCCCATAGTAATTCATCCCCCATATAGTAATTCATCCCCCATATAGTAATTCATCCCCCATAGTAATTCATCCCCCATATAGTAATTCATCCCCCTATATTAATTCATCCCCCATATTAAGTCCCCAAGTCCCCCCTGTGTCAATTCACTTACCTTTGCTCCGCGCGCTCCTCTTGCCGTGTTCCCGCGCCGTTCCGGTGTAGCATGAAAATCTGTCTCCTATGAGCATCTGTCCCCCTCGACGTATCTGCGCATGTGCCAGTTTCAGGCATTAGCAGCCGATCGGCGATCTCCGGCACATGCGCAGATACGTTCGAGGGGGACAGATCCTCATAGGAGACAGATTTTCATGCTACACCGGTCTTCAGGGCGGACTGTGAGAGGAGCCTAGCGGGAGCCTAGCTCCGCGGGCCGGATTAAAAGGTCCGCCGGGCCGTATACGGCCCGCGGGCGTAGTTTGCCCATTGCTGATCTAGTGCAAGGGTATTTAAATTAAAATTCAAGGAGGAAAATTTCTTCTGGATCTCAAGTTTGTGCTATGACTCAGAATGATTGTAGTCACTGTACGTCTATCAAAAAACGAGAAATGTACAATTTCCATAGCATTTGCCACCATCAGAGTACCCCCTTATATCAGGTGTCCCCATCAGAGTGTCCCCTTAAGTAAGGTGCCCCATCAGAGTGCCCACTTACATCACGTTTCTGTATAAGAAGGCCCCCTTACATCTGGTGTCTCCCATCAGCGTGTGCCCTTACATCAGTTATCCCCATCAGAGTGCTCCATTATATGAGGTTCCCTCATCACAATGACCCCTCACATAGGGTGTCACCATCACATCAGGTGTGTCAGAGTGCTCCTCTATATCAGGTGTGTATCCAAAGAACAAAGGTATACTGCTCAGGCAAACAATCCAGATCAATCCACGACAGGTGCAGGCTCTGGCTCGCCACCACACACGATGCAATAGGAAGAAGGGTCAGCCGCACACCGGAGGATAGATGAATATAGTGTGTATTTATTGATCCATAGGGCACACAAAGCACCAGGACATGAATACAGGACCTGTTCACACGTTTCACACAATCTCGTGCTTAATCATAACCTATGCTTATGATTAAGCGCAAGATCATGTGAAACGTGTTAACAGGTCCTGTATTCATGTCCTGGTGCTTTGTGTGCCCTATGGATCAATAAATACACACTATATTCATCTATCCTCTGGTGTGCGGCTGACCCTTCTTCCTTCTACATCAGGTGTGCCCATTAGAGTTCCCCTTTACATCAGTTGTCCCCATCAGAGTGGCTCTTTACATCAGGTATCCCCATCAGAGTGCCCCTTTACATCAGGTCTCCCCATCACAGTGCCACCTTCCATCAGGTATTTCCATCAGAGTGCCCCTTTACATCAGGTGTCACTATCAGAGTGCCCACTTACATCAGGTTTCTGCAGCATAAGGCCCTCTTACATCTGGTATTTCCCATCATTGTGTCCCCTTACATCAGTTGTCCCCATCAGAGTGCCCCTTTACATAGGGTGTCTCCATCAGAGTGCCCCCTTATATCAGGTGTCCCCATCACATCAGGTGTGCCCATAAGAGTGCCCCTTTACATCAGTTATCCCTATCAGAGTGCCCCTTGCCATAGTATGTGCCCATCAGAGTGCCCCTTTCCATCACATGTGCCCATCAGAGTGCCCCTTTCCAAAATGTGTGCCCTTCAGAGTGCCCCTTAACATAATATGTGTCCATCAGCATGTCACTTAACATATGTGCCTATCAGCATGCCACTTAACATAAAATATGCTCATCAGAGTGCTCCTTAACATAAAATGTGCCCATCAGCATGATCCTTATTTTATGTGAAGGGGCACTCTGATGGATACATTTAATGTTAAGGGGCACTCTGATGGACACATTTTATGTTAAGGGGCACTCTGATAAATTTTATGTTGTGCCCATCAACTTGCCCCTTAACATAAAATGTGCCCATCAGTGTGTCCCTAACATAAAATGTGCCCATCAGCAAGCCCCTTAACATAAAAAAAGGGGCATGCTGATGGTCACATTTTATGTTAACGGACACTCATAAAATGTGTTCATCAGAAAGCCCCTTGAAATAAAATGTGCCCATCAGCATGGCCCTGTAAATCTCTTTGAAGTACACATACACCATACTTTGAGGGCAGGCAGGGAGCGGGAGTCAGCAGAGGTAGCGAGCTGGGGGGGAGAGCTGCAGCGAGAAGGGGGTGGGACACACACATGACATTTAGACTGGCGGGCTGACGGTCTGCACAGGAGCATGGTTTGCTCCATGTTCGGACCACGGTCTGCCATTTAATGACAGCTGATCTAGGGCAATAAGTAATGTTCTTTCAAGCCCATCTGTTGGCATACAAATGTACACTATATTGCCAACAGTATTGGGACACCCCTCCAAATCATTGGATTCAGGTGTTCCAATAACTTCCATGGCCACAGGTGTATAAAATCAAGCACCTAGGCCTGCAGACTGCTTCTACAAACATTTGTGAATGAACGGGTCACTCTTAGGAGCTCAGTGAATTTAAGCGTAGTAACGTGATAGGTTGCCATCTGTGCAATAAGTCCATCCATGAAATTTCCTTGCTACTAAATATTCAACTGTTAGTGGTATTATAACAAAGTGGAAGCAGCTGGGAACAACAGCAACTCAGACACGAAGTGGTAGGCCACGTAAGATGACAGAGCAGGGTCAGCACATGCTGAAGAGCACAGTGCGCAGAAGTCGCCAACTATCTGCAGAGTCCATAGCTAAAAGATCTCCAAACTTCATTGTGGCCTTCAGATTAGCACTACAGTGTGTAGAGAGCTTCATGGAATGGGTTTCCATGGCCAAGCAGCTGCATCCAAGCCTTACATCACCAGTGCAATGCAAAGCGTCAAATGCAGTGGTGTAAGGCACGCCACCATGGGATTCTATAGCAGTGGAGACGTGTTCTCTGGGGTGACTAATCATGATTGTCTGTCTGGGTTTGGCGGTTGCCAGAATGGTACTTGCCTGACTTCACTGTGCCAAGTGTTAAGTTTGGTGAAGGGGGGATTATGGTGTGGGGTTGTTTTTCAGGGGTTGGACTTGGCCCCTTAGTTCCAGTGAAGGGAACTCTTAAGGAGTCAGCATACCAAGACATTTTGGATAATTTCATGCTCCCAACTTTGTGGAAACAGTTTGAAGATGGCCCCTTCCTGTTCAAACATTCTATGCACCAGTGCACAAAGCAAGGTCCATAAAGACCTGGATGAGTTAGTTTGGTGTGGAGGAATTTGCCTGGCCTGCACAGAGTCCTGACCTTAACCAGATAGAATACCTTTGTGATGAATTACAGCGGAGACTGCGAACCAGGCCTTCTCGTCCGACATCAGTGCCTGACCTCACAAATGCGCTTCTGGAAGAATGGTCAAACATTCCCATAGACACATTCCTAACCTTATGGACATCCTTCCCAGAAGAGATGAAGCTAATATAGCTGCAAAGAGTGAGCCAACTCAGTATTGAACCCTACGGACTAAGACTGGGATGCCATTAAAGTTGATATACGTATAAAGGCAGGCATCCCAATACTTTTGGCAATATAGTGTATGTTGGCATTCATTTGTCCCCCTACCACCCACTCTAATTAAAATAAAACCCTTTTAACCACTTGCCGACCGCAGATAGCTGATTGACGTCCTCCCAGAACGTGCTTTCCTGCGCGCCCCCAGGGTGCGCACCTGGCGATCTCCGTGATCGCTGTGTCCTACAGACACAGCTGATCACGTGATGTGGTAAAAGGTCAGCCGTGTCCAATGACACGCTGATCACCGGGAAATGCAATTGCCGGTTCTCGGCTGCACTTTCCTCACGCTGTCAGAGCGTGATGAAAGTACTGCTGAGAACCGGCAGTTGTGAGAGCAGGGATCGGCATCGATCATCAGGGGACTGATGATCAGTGCCCAGCAGTGCCACCCACCAGTTCCTGCCCACAAGTGCCAGCAGTGCTGCCCACCAATTCCGCCCACCTGTGCCTAGCAGTGCACCCACCTGTGCCCAGCAGTGCCACTCACCTGTGCCCACCAGTACCACCCACCTGTGCCCACCAGTGCCAGTGCCACCCACCAGTGCCCATCAGTGCTGCCAGTCAGTGTCACCAGTCAGTGCCCAGCGGTTGTGCCAGTCAGTGCCCAGCAGTTGCGCCAGTCAATGCCTAGCATTGCCGCCAGTCAGTGCCCACCAGTGATGCCAGTCAGTGCCACCTATCAGTGCTGTCTATCAGTACCCATCATCAGTGCCGCCTATCAGTGCCGCCTATTAGTGACACCGCATTAGTGCTGCCTATCAGTGCCGCCTAGCTGTGCCACCTCATTAGTGCTGCCTATCAGTGCCCTTCAGTGCTGCCTATCAGTGCCCATCAGTGCCGCGACTATCAGTGCTGCCTCATCAATCAACATCAGTGAAGGAGAAAAATTACCTGTTTGAAAAATTTTATAAAACAAACAAAGAAACTTTTTTTTTTTTTTCAAAATTTTTGCAGTTTTTTTGTTTATAGCACAAAAAATAAAGCGCCCAGCGGCGATCAAATACCACCAAAAGAAAGCTCTATTTGTGAGAAAAAAAATTATAAAAATTTCATATGGGTACAATCTTGCATGACTGCGCAATTGTCAATCAAAGTGCGACAGCGCTGAAAGATGAAAATTGGCCTGGTAAAAAAGGGGGTATAAGTGCCCGATAGGCAAGTAGTTAAGCTGAGCACACACACAGATCAAAATATTTTTATATCAAAACAGTATTTTCGATCTGTGTCATCAGATCAGCTTCTGTCAAACAGTTCTGCAGGAACATTGTAATTTTATCATTGGCTGCAGCACTGATCAGTGTACTATGACAGTGAGAGGTCCTTGCTGTCAAATTGCAATGTCCTAGTAGGGGGGATTCCTGCATCCACCTCAGAAATCTGTTTGGGTTTTTTCTCATGCAACCCATGTATCCAGCTTAGCAGCCTGAACCCACTGTCACTTGATCCCTCTATGATTTAGCGCTGGCATGCAAGCTCCCCACCAACTTATCTTGATGCTATCCCTCTTCATGACATCATTGAACCACTGCAGTCTTTAGGACTTGAAAGTTAGGAAGTTTCCGTGTCACTCAGGTGCTCAAAAAAAGGACCCTCCTCTGTATCAAGATAAAAGACTCTGGAGCGTTACATGACCACAGATTCAGGTAAGTATAGGGGTCTTTAGTTCAGTTAATAAATTTTTTGTTTACATAACCAGAACAGGTAAGCAACATATAACTTTTGATAATAAGTTACAGGTGTCAACAAGTTGCAATTAACACCAACAACACATTGGAAACAAACATTTTACAACCTCAGCAAATATTGTTACATCTATAGTTTCTAGGTTTTGCATGTCCACAAATGGTGAAATAATCATATCTAATAAACAATGAAAGACAATAGACAAATGCTTTTTTAATGACAATAATATTTAATAGCCTTGAGGTTTGGTTCACATCAGATGCAGTGGGACTATGATGGGAGGCTATTCCAGCACAGTCCCACATGGACATGCAAAATGCCTCGTCTCCTATGTGCTCAGTTCACACCACTGTGTTGCGGTGGTTTGCGGGCACAGTGTGTTGAGAAAAAATGTACTGCATGCAGTACTTTTTTTCAGCACGATGAAAGGCGATCCAATATCTTACTTAAAAACAGTGAAAATCTGCGCTAGGGCTTAAATAAAACAAGAAAAGCTGCTGACACTATGCTCTGAAACAAAGTATAAACCAAATGAAAGATACTGAGAACAGTGCTTTAAAAAATACCTAAATAAATACTAATATCCTTCAAAACAATTCATCTGCAATTAGCAGTCTCTATATATATAACAATCATCCTAAAATTAACAACAAAATATGCTATTATGTAAAACAATGTGCAATATGTATGGCCAATTTCATATGCACATGAGATGAGCGATGATGAGCCATGGCCATCTTGGTTAATGGCTGTGTGGAGGTTCTGAGATGTTATAAGCGCTGTCTGCTCTGCAATATACTGTAAGTGCATTTTCAAAATAAAACTTCTTTCTTATGTGGATTCACTGGGAGAGAGTAGTGTTGGGGCTTGATGTTCCAGTTGAATGCAAGTTCCATATATGTTCGCCGAACACATGAACTTACGGGCAACTTACAGTGCCAGTAAAGGATTCTCAACAAAATATTAAATATGAACATTTTATTTATGTTTATATTCAATTGTACAATTATTTTTGGTCCGTTGAAAAAGGGGGGGATGGTCAAATCATGGAAATCTCCCTCCTTAAGCATAGTAGTAGCAGTAAAGCACAAAATCACACAGGCCATGATCCACGCCAAAGTGGAAGCCACAA